CACAGAGCTTGATTGGCATTTGCCATTGAACACCAGAATTGGCAGGTCTGCCACTGGTGCAGTGTGTTTTTCACAAATGAGAGCAGGTTCACCCTGAGCACGTGACAGACTTGAAAGGGTCTGGAGAAGCCGTGGAGAACGTTATGCTGCCTGTAACATCATTCAGCATGACCGTTTTGGTGGTGGGTCAGTGATGGTCTGGGGAGGCATATCCATGGAGGGCTGCAGAGATCTCTACAAGCTAGACAATGGCACCCTGACTGCCATTAGTTTATTAGGAGGAAATCTTTGGACCCATTGTCAGATCCTACACTGGTGCAGTGGGTCCTGGATTCCTCCTGGTAGAACGAAATTGCCCGACCTCATGTGGCAAGAGTATGCAGACAGTTCCTGGAGGATGAAGGAATTGATACCATTGAATGGCACCCACGCTCACCTGACCGATATCCAATAGAACACCTCTGCACCTCTGGAATATCATGTTTCGGTCCATCCGACGCTGACAGGTTACACCTCAGAGTGTCTATGAGCTCAGTGATGCCCTGGTCCAGATCTTGGTCAGAAACTACATAGTTACATAGTTAGTTTTTTGGCTGAAAAAAGACAAAAGTATATACAGATCTGGGAGGAAAATACCCCAGGACACCATCTGCCATCTCATTAAAAACATGCCTTAACAATTGTCAGTAGAGATGAGCAAATCGAACATGACGAAGTGGAATTCGTTTCGAATATTGGGAAATATTCGATTCGCGCCGAAGCCGAAAATTAGCCAACTCGGATGCACGAATCGAATTTTCCCAAAAATGGCGGCGACATGTGTGGCGATCTCTGGGAAGGCGCGCAGACAAGGCGCGCTGACCCATAATGCATTCATTCATGACATGTGATCGCATTACCAATCAGCAGCCAGCCCAGCACTGTGTAATGGTGGAGCTATAAATTGCGGCCATCTTACAATTCTCCATTAGCCTGCGGTCATTCAAGAGAGACAGACCTGTCTGTATTAGGGACAGAGTTAGGGCCAGAGAGACTTTAGGGCCACAGAAATCGTTTACTTAGGGACACAGAATCGTTACTTAGGGACACAGAATCGTTACTCAGGGACACAGAATTGTTAATCAGGGACACAGAATTGTTACTCAGGGACAGACACAGAATTACGACAGACACAGAATTGTTACTGAGGGACACAGAATTGTTACTGAGGGACACAGAATTGTTACTGAGGGACACAGAATTGTTACTCAGGGACACAGAATTGTTACTCAGGGACAGACACAGAATTGTTACTGAGGGGACACAGAATTGTTACTGAGGGACACAGAATTGTTACTGAAGGGACACATGACACAGAAATTGTTACTGAGGGACACAGAATTGTTACTCAGGGACACAGAATTGTTACTCAGGACACAGAATCGTTACTGAGGGACACAGAATTGTTACTCAGGGACAACAGAATTGTTACTCAGGGACACAGAATCGTTGAATTAAAGAGTATGTCAGACAACACCAAGAGGAGTGGCAGAGGAGGCAATGTTTTCAGGAGCGAGCAGACGTGGCAGCAGAGGAAGGGGTCGAGGCAGCACTAGTCGCAGCCAGAGGGCCAGTGCTCCCGGTGTCATCCAGCGGTCGTGTCTCCACCGACAACCCTGCCGTCATTCGATTGGTTGGCCTTCTCGGTCGTCTTCCTCTTCCCAGGTCACCTCTGACACCTACAAGCCAACGGTCGGTGGGTACGTCAGACACAACCGTTAGTTGGCATCGCCCGGGAGCAAGCCCACTGAAATCACGTGTCCTCTACCTGCCCCTGTCCTTTGGTGTTCCCTCACCAAGCAAAGTATCGCATGCTGTGGGCTCAGCCCCACTGTACAGTGAGGAAGAGCTAAACAGAGGGCGGTCAGGAACGGGGGGAGACATCCGCCTCTTCAGCAGCCAGGCGAAGAAGTACTGGCGAGGAGAGTGGCTCGGTAGCGGTCTAGAGAGAGGTCTGTCTCCTGACCCACACGCAGCCGAGGGGGCTAGTAGTGAGGCGGAGACCCTAATTGATGATGATGAGGCTGATCGCACTTGGCAGCCTCGTCGTCATCAGGCTATTGCTTCCGCATCATCAGGAGAAGAGGGTGCCAAGCTTCTTGGGCAGCAAGCAAAACAGTCGGTGGGTTGCCCAGGAGGCAGCAGGGTCGCAGCAGTGTCAGTGGAGCCAAACGGCCACGGAGTAGAGCACCAGCTCCACTGCAGCCTACCACCCACGGCCAGTAGTGGTGCCGGTGTGCACAGAGGAAGTAGCAGTCAGCCAGTGAGGAAGTAGCGGGGGCAAAGTTTCCTACTCGGCGGTGTGGCAATTTTTTCGTCAACCCGAGGAAGTAAACGTAGCCGTATGTCGACTATGTGGCCAGAAAGTCAAGCGTGGCCAGGGGGCCCATGTTGGGACTACAGCGTTGCGTCAGCATATGCAGCGTCGCCATTCGGTGGCCCTGGGGAAAACCGTGATAAAGATACGGCGGTTCTGCCTGCCCCAGCCCTCGCTCCATCACCCGCTCCGTTACTTGCTCCGTCACCCGACGTCAATCGCCCTCTATCAGCCAGTCAAGGCTCCAACACCTCTGCTGAGGGGAGTTGTCGCTCGTTGGCATCTTCCGCTCGTTCAGGATGCTCCTTCTCCTGCTACTCCTCTTCGGATTCCGTCAGCAGTCTTTCTTGGAATCCGTTTCCAAGAGACAACAGTTTGCGAGCAACGCACCCGACGGTGCAAAAGTGCTGAACGTCCTCCTGTCCAAGTTGCTGGTGCTGCAGTCCCTCCCCCTTTCCAAGTGGTGGACTCAGCACCTTTCCGAGAAATGATGGCTTGTGCCGAGCCACGGTGGGAGAGTGCCAAGCCGGCATTTCTTCGCCAAAAAAGGCAGTGCCAGCCCTGCATTCACATGTAGAAGAGATGGTGGGCCAGTCTTTGAGCATGTCGGACTCTGCCAAAGTGCACGGCAGCGCCAACGTGTGGAGCTGTAACTACTGTCAGGGACAGTACATCTCATTTACGGCCCACTGGTGTGAACGTGGTGCCGGCACAGCCGCACCAGCAACTTGGACAGGTCACGGCCACTTTTGCCTCCACGTTTGCACGTCCTTGGTCCAGAAAAGATGTCCGCCTCTACCACCTCTTCTTCCGCCGTGTCCTCAGCCGCCACCCCCGTGCCAAGTCCCATTACCCGACCGGCATATCACATGTGCAGGGCGCAACGGTGTCACGCTGTGCTGCACCTGGTATGCCTTGGCGAACGTAGTCACACAGGGGAGGAACTTCTGAGTGTAATGAACAGAGAAATCGACAGATGGCTGTCTCCGCGCAAACTGAAAATCGGAACCATGTTGACCGACAAACGGAAAGAACATGGTGTCTGCTCTGCGTCAAGGAAGGTTGTGCCATGCGCCATGCATGGCTCACGTGTTCAATCTGGTTGTCAAGCGGTTCCTAAAATCCACCATCCCACTGCAAGACATCCTTAAAATGTCACGTAAACTTTGCATGCATTTCAGCCATTCCTACACCGCAAAGCACACCCTCCTTGAGCTGCAGCGGCAGAACGGAATTCCACAGCATCGCCTGATCTGCGACGTTGCAACAAGGTGGAATTCAACCCTACATATGTTAGACCGCCTTTACGAACAGCGAAAGGCCATCACCGATTTCCTGATGTTACAAGCGGATAAAGGTACTCCCTGTGTAACTTAGATGTCAGCCATTGGCAGCTCATGCGTGACACCTGCCGCTTGCTCAGGCCCTTTGAGGAGGCCACGCTATTCGTGAGTCGGCAGGACTATGGGATGAACGACGTCATTCCTCTGTTGCACGTCCTGGAACAAATGCTGTTAACAATGGCTGGTCAGGGTGCGGTAGACGTGGCGCACAGATCTCAACGCCACATGACCCCTGTGGGGGCAGGACAGGAAGAAGAGGAGGAGGTAGAGGAGGACATTGGTGCTCAGGAATTATTGAGTGAAATGGGTGGTTTTTTCCACTCAGCGGACAGGAGTGGAGGAGCAGGAGCATCTGGTAGAGGAGGAGGAGGAGGAGGAGACAGAGGACCCAGACGCACCGTGGCAGTATGCTGTGGAGATGGAGGCAGGGAGTCCCTCGCATTCCTTGCACAAATGGCCCATAGCATGCTCGGTTGCTTGCGTAGCGACAGCCGAATAATAACCATCAGACAGAGGGATGACTTTTGGCTGTCCACCTTGTTGGACCCTCGCTACGGTTCAAAAATGGTGGCCTTTTTCACACCTGCTGAGAGGGAGGCCAAAATAACGTACTATAAAAACCACCTATGTAGTCAGTTGGTCTCTGCCTTTGTGCGCCAACGTCCATCCTCAGACACTGTGGGCCCTGTGCGCTCGCGTTCCGCTGCCATGGCAGCAGGGGAGGGGTGGGGTGGTAGGAGCAGTGGCAGCTCCACCAGCAGCGGCTGCCTCAGTCTGCAGTCGATGATGAGTAGCTTTCTTCACCAGCGCAGTGAGGAAACTACTAACCAGCCGCAGCAGCAGCAGCATCAGGTGGACCTGGAGCAGGACCTCAAACAACAGGCTTGGGCCTACTTGGACAGCACCCTGCCAACCGAGGTAGACAATCCCCTTGACTACTGGGCAACGAAACTTGACCTTTGGCCCCAACTAGCTGAATTTTGCCCTTGAAAGGCTGTCATGCCCGGCCAGTAGCGTGGCATCGGAGCGCGTGTTTAGTGCGGCAGGAGGTATTGTAACTCCGCGGAGGACACGACTGTCCACCCAAAGTGTGGAGAGACTCACGTTTGTGAAAATGAATCAGGCGTGGATTAGTCTGGATTTCAAACCACCAGTTCCTGACACAACTGACTAAACTAAAATCATCCGCCATGAATCATGCCCCAAACATGTTATTATTTTTAACATAGGCTCTGTTATGGGCCTTCCCATTTAAGCTGCTTACGCTTCGCCACTCTGCCATGGGCCCCTGTACCGCCTCCTCTTGCTGCTGCCAGGTCCAGAGTGTCTCATGGGGTCCCTGTACGGCCTCCCATTGCTGCTGTCTCCATCGCCACACTCTGCCATGTGCCACTTTCCAGGTCTCCTCCACACTGCTGGTGGGTTCCATTTTGTCATAGGGTGCTGGCAGATTACGGGCCTCCCATTGCTGCTGCCAGGCCCGTTCGTAATCTGCCATGGGCCCCCGTACCGCCTCCTCATGCTGCTGCCAGGTCCAGAGTCTGCATGGGTCCCTGTACGGCCTCCCATTGCTGCTGTCCAGAGTCCATGGGTCCCCGGCCTCCCATTGCTGCTGCCATGTGCCCACTTTCAGTTGCCACTTTCAGGTCCCTCACACTGCTGGTGTGGTCCATTTTGTCATAGGGTGCTGGCAGATTACGGGCCTCCCATTGCTGCTGCCAGGCCCGTAATCTCATGCCATGGGCCCCTGTACCGCCTCCTCATGCTGCTGCCAGGTCCAGAGTGTGTCATGGGTCCCTGTACGGCCTCCCATTGCTGCTGTCTCCATCGCCACACTCTGCCATGTGCCACTTTCAGGTCTCCTCACACATGCTGGTGGGTTCCATTTTGTCATAGGGTGCTGGCAGATTACGGGCCTCCCATTGCTGCTGCCAGGCCCGTAATCTGCCATGGGCCCCCGTACCGACTCCTCATGCTGCTGCCAGGCCCGTAATCTGTCATGGGCCCCTGTACCGCCTCCTCATGCTGCTGCCAGGTCCAGAGTCTCTCATGGGTCCCTGTACGGCCTCCCATTGCTGCTGTCTCCATCGCCACACTCTGCCATGTGCCACTTTCAGGTCTCCTCACACTGCTGGTGGGTTCCATTTTGTCATAGGGTGCTGGCAGATTACGGGCCTCCCATTGCTGCTGCCAGGCCCGTAATCTGCCATGGGCCCCCGTACCGACTCCTCATGCTGCTGCCAGGCCCGTAATCTGTCATGGGCCCCTGTACCGCCTCCTCATGCTGCTGCCAGGTCCAGAGTCTCTCATGGGTCCCTGTACGGCCTCCCATTGCTGCTGTCTCCATCGCCACACTCTGCCATGTGCCACTTTCAGGTCTCCTCACACTGCTGGTGGGTTCCATTTGCTGTCATAGGGTGCTGGCAGATTACGGGCCTCCTCATTGCTGCTGGTGCCAGGCCCGTAATCTGCCATGGGCCCCCGTACCGGGCCTCCTCATGCTGCTGCCAGGCCCGTAATCTGTCATGGGCCCCTGTACCGCCTCCTCATGCTGCTGCCAGGTCCAGAGTGTCTCATGGGTCCCTGTACGGCCTCCCATTGCTGCTGTCTCCATCGCCACACTCTGCCATGTGCCACTTTCAGGTCTCCTCACACTGCTGGTGGGTTCCATTTTGTCATAGGGTGCTGGCAGATTACGGGCCTCCCATTGCTGCTGCCAGGCCCGTAATCTGCCATGGGCCCCCGTACTGACTCCTCATGCTGCTGCCAGGCCCGTAATCTGTCATGGGCCCCCGTACCGCCTCCTCATGCTGCTGCCAGGTCCAGAGTGTCTCATGGGTCCCTGTACGGCCTCCCATTGCTGCTGTCTCCATCGCCACACTCTGCCATGTGCCACTTTCAGGTCTCCTCACACTGCTGGTGGGTTCCATTTTGTCATAGGGTGCTGGCAGATTACGGGCCTCCCATTGCTGCTGCCAGGCCCGTAATCTGCCATGGGCCCCCGTACCGACTCCTCATGCTGCTGCCAGGCCCGTAATCTGTCATGGGCCCCTGTACCGCCTCCTCATGCTGCTGCCAGGTCCAGAGTGTCTCATGGGTCCCTGTACGGCCTCCCATTGCTGCTGTCTCCATCGCCACACTCTGCCATGTGCCACTTTTAGGTCTCCTCACACTGGTCTGGTGGGTTCCATTTTGTCATAGGGTGCTGGCAGATTACGGGCCTCCCATTGCTGCTGCCAGGCCCGTAATCTGCCATGGGCCCCCGTACCGACTCCTCATGCTGCTGCCAGGCCCGTAATCTGTCATGGGCCCCTGTACCGCCTCCTCATGCTGCTGCCAGGTCCAGAGTGTCTCATGGGTCCCTGTACGGCCTCCCATTGCTGCTGTCTCCATCGCCACACTCTGCCATGTGCCACTTTCAGGTCTCCTCACACTGCTGGTGGGTTCCATTTTGTCATAGGGTGCTGGCAGATTACGGGCCTCCCATTGCTGCTGCCAGGCCCGTAATCTGCCATGGGCCCCCGTACCGACTCCTCATGCTGCTGCCAGGCCCGTAATCTGTCATGGGCCCCTGTACCTTCATGCTGCTGCCTCCTCATGCTGCTGCCATGGTCCAGAGTGTGTCATGGGTCCCTGTATGGCCTCCCATTGCTGCTGCCAGTTTCCCGTCTGCCATGGGCCCCCGTACACTCCTCATGCTGCTGCCAGGCCCGTAATCTGTCATGGGCCCCTGTACCACCTCCTCATGCTGCTGCCAGGTCCAGAGTGTGTCATGGGTCCCTGTACGGCCTCCCATTGCTGCTGCCAGGCCCCGTAATCTGCCATGGGCCCCCGTTCCGACTCCTCATGCTGCTGCCAGGCCCGTAATCTGTCCCATGGGCCCCTGTACCGCCTCCTCATGCTGCTGCCAGGTCCAGAGTCTCTCATGGGTCCCTGTACGGCTTCCCATTGCTGCTGTCTCCATCGCCACACTCTGCCATGTGCCACTTTCAGGTCTCCTCTCACTGCTGGTGGGTTCCATTTTGTCATAGGGTGCTGGCAGATTACGGGCCTCCCATTGCTGCTGCCAGGCCCGTAATCTGCCATGGGCCCCCGTACCGACTCCTCATGCTTCTGCCAGGCCCGTAATCTGTCATGGGCCCCTGTACCGCCTCCTCATGCTGCTGCCAGGTCCAGAGTCTCTCATGGGTCCCTGTACGGCCTCCATTGCTGCTGTCTCCATAAGCACACTCTGCCATGTGCCACTTTCAGGTCTCCTCACACTGCTGGTGGGTTCCATTTTGTCATAGGGTGCTGTATGGCCTCCCATTGCTGCTGCCTCCACCGCCACACTGTGGCTCCACACTCTGGTTTTGGCCCCGTGACTGCCCAAATGAGTGAAGGTGCGTTGATTCTAAGATCGACGGCACTCATCTGCATGTCATACTGACTGACAGTATTATTTTCTCTTCCCCAGCAGACTCCAAGGGCATTTAAATTAAAGGTACAGTGTTCTGCACTAATATAAAGGCTCTCTGAAGCCTAGAAACACCCTTTTTATAAGTTAAATTCGCAGCGAATATATTCGACTCGAATCGAATTTATTCCGCGAATTCGCCGAATCGAATTTTTGAATACTTCGCTCATCTCTCTAATTGTCAGGCATGCATACAAGCATGTGGGGGCCATGCAAACTACTGAGTATCATTTTAAGTTGCTGCAATTAAATTAAGCAAAATGGACTAGCCTGCTGCATCATGTGTCTTTGAATTCACTCCTCTGTAGCTTGATAATTTTCATTTCTGTCAAACGACGAGGCATCCTTCCGTTCCTAACACATTACCAGTCCATATCAGTATAGATATCCAGCATGATAATTTTCCCCTTTGAGATCTGATTTGTTTTCAAAGTGTTCCTTTAATTTTTTTTTTTTTTGAGCAGTGTACAACTAACAGCTCCTTCTGTGTTTAGTAAGCATGGAGCATGGAAAATGACAGATCTGGAATGCTCCTAACATATTTATGATGGATGATCCCAGTTGTTGTGCTTATACAAGTGCTGATAACATGATGTAGATTTTAGTATTACAAAAAATATTCTCTCCTCTCCTTTTTCTCACAAATAAGCAACCAGCTGTACAGATATACTGTATACATCCCCAAACATGCAGTATATCAAAGATAACAAAAAAGTGGCACTATGTAACTAACGAAGATAAATAATAAAATTCAGAAGTTGAAATATTCATATAAATAGGCTGCAAAATGTAACAGAGCGTGGGAAAAGTAGTACTTGGTATACTTTTAAAAACTCACTGCACCAAACCATGCAATTTGGTGCCCATAAGTGCACTGCCTTCGCAATCTACATTTGGGGTATTATTAACAATACATTGGCAAGTGAAGGGATGAATGCTGCTCAACTAACCCCAGGAGTCCAATGTTGAAGAATTGCCACAGCCGCCATACTGTCCACGCATTCTGACACGTTTCACCCTTCCTACCGAAGCTTTATCACAGAGGTAGTGAGGATGTGAGAAGCTAGGAAATAAATATGCATCATTGGTTGTGAAAAAAGAATCAGGTGTGTATGCGTGATGATATAGTGATTGGAAAACATGAAGAAGACAAGATAAACTGAAGAGTAATTCTGAAATACAAGAAAGAGAAAGAGAAGAGAAAATAAATAAAAAAAGGAACTCATTTTTTTAAAATATAATATATATATATATATATATATATATATATACAGTTGTGTTCAAAATAATAGCAGTCAAATATCACTAACCTGATCAATCACTGTTTTTGGTAGAAATTATATTTCTACATGGCAAATAATTTACTAGCAGGTGTAGTAGAGTAATAGAAAATCCAACAGACCCAACAGTCATGACATGCATGCTGCTGATTCTGTGTAATTGAATCACTAATTGAGAGGGGCATGTTCAAAATAATAGCAGTGTGGAGTTCTATTAGTGAGGTCATTCATTCTTTGAAAAACTGGTGGCAATTATTGCCCTTATTTAAGGAAGGAAGGCAGCAAATGTTGTACATGCTGGTTACAGTGCACTTCTCTCTGAAATTCTGAGGAAAATGGGTCGTTCCAGACATTGTTCAGAAGAACAGCGTACCTTGATTAAAAAGTTGATTGGAGAGAAGAAAACATATAAAGAAGTGTAGAAAATGATAGGCTGCTCAGCTAAAATGATCACAAAATGCTTTAAAATGGCAACCAAAACCTGAAAGACATGGAAGAAAGCGAAAAACTACCATTCGAATAAATAGAAGAATAGCCAAAATGGCAAGGACTCAGCCAACAATCAGCTCCAGGAAGATAAAAGAAGGTCTAAAGTTACCTGTGAGTACTATTGCAATTAGAAGACGCCTATGCGAAGCCAAGCTATCTGCAAGAAGCCCCCACAAAGTCCCACTGTTAAAAAAAAAAGACGTGCTGAAGAGGTTACAATTTGCCAAAGAGCACATTGACTGGCCTAAAGAGAAATGGCGCAACATTTTGTGCACTGATGAAAGTAAGATTGTTCTTTTTGGATCTAGTGGCTGGAGACAGTTTGTCAGACGACCCCCAAACACTGAATTCAAGCCACAGTACACTGTGAAGACAGTGAAGCATGGTTGCGCAAGCATCATGGTATGGGGATGTTTCTCATACTATGGTGTTGGGCCTATTTATCGCATACCAGGGATCATGGATCAGTTTGAATACATCAGAATACTTGAAGAGGTCATGCTGCCTTATGCTGAAGAGGAAATTCCCTTGAAATGGGTGTTCCAACAAGACAACGACCCCAAACACACCAGTAAAAACGTGCAACATCTTGGTTCCAGACCAACAAGATTGACGTTATGGAGTGGCCAGCCCAATCCCCAGATCTTAATCCAATAGAAAATTGAT